TCCATCAAAAGAAAAATAGGGGTCACCGAACGTCCAAGATCGTTAAATCCAGGCAAAGCTGTAGCAATGGTAATCTGCCCTATCATTGTTCATTTCATTACTTAGCGCGCGCTCTCATGCATGACGTGGCGTGTGAATTTGCGTGCGCAGTAAGGATGCGCCCGCCGGAGTAGAAACGGAAACAAGAAAACTAGTCCTTGTGACGTTACGCATGCAGTGTGAGATAGCAATGTTCCCATTCGCAATTTGTTCGCTTCTCCTTCATTTGCGTTCATCCCGTTCCTGCATATCCCTTCTACGTGGCATGCGAGTTAAGAACAGCTGGAAATGATAAAACTTCAAGGCAAAATTCACACTAATTGAACAGTTATCATAAATTTCGTTTACGAATAGCAACAACAAAACAAGACCTCTTACCCCCTCACAGTACACCACACGCCATGTTTACCGTGTGTTAGCTTGGAGACCTGGTGACGACGAGATTGAGATACCACCAATGAACCGAGCTCAACAAGAAAACTGGAGAAATATAACAGCATAACATGTTACTCAACATTTTAGTACCACGCTCTAAACGGTAATTCCCAATACAGAATACTTCGTTATATTTCATTTTAGGTTAGTCTGGGGAATTTGGTTGTATATCAAAGCAATATCCCTCAGTTAATGCTTGTCTTTTTTCTTGTCACCTGTCAAGCTAGCTCTGTTAAGGGAAATTACATTTTGACTAATCTTTTGGATGGACGGTTTTGATGTCTTGATGTCTTGATGTCTTGATGAAGGTACTGACCTCTTACTAACCGTGGGCGAGGGCCGTGCCGGGGAATATTGGCCCGAGGTTGTGGCAGTACGGACCGAACGCAGCGAGGTCCGTACAAAAACGACCGAGGGCTAATATTCCCCAATATGGCTTGAGCAAGTTAGGTTAGTAAGTAGTTTAGTTTCTTTTTCTCCAAACGTCTAGTTTTTTTCGCATTTTATCCGCGCATATTACCAGAACATTTATATTTTTTATGTGAGATATTGTTTTGAATTATTGGCGTATTTCGCGGAGGCTTTGAAGCTTTGAAGCATGCAATGATTAAAATTAGTTCCCACGTCATATTCCCAGCATTCGACTAAGTCATGTTTTTACAGCATACAAGATATTCTGTCAAAAAAAGAGGCGCCAAAATCTCACAAGTGTAGAACTGAGCCTCTTTTTTTTTGCGTCACTTTGAGTCGATTTTTCTGCTAATTTTAATACGGATGTTGTTATTGCCCCCTATAGCGATGTAACTTTAATCTCTTTGTTGTTGTAATTGGTTGTGGGGGAGGTCGGAAACTCAGCACGGAACACTTTGTTGCCTTCGGATGTTATACAGAGTTGTTGTTATCCCAATATGTCTACGTGATAGAAAGCGGTTTTAAATTGGGTGGGTGTCGTAAACAGCCAAGAAAGTGAATTCTGTGTTATTTAAGGCTATTCATTCAAAAAAATAATAAAGTTCATTCAAAGTCTTACATAAAGTGAAACTGGATGGAAATTGCGTCATTCTGTAAGTTGAGAGCCAAGAGCCCAGCCAGTCCTATTCAAAGGTAGCACTAGGGGCCTAAAGGTGCGACACGTGTGAAATGTTTATGCATGTGAAATGCTCTTTGAATAGTGAAAATCACCAGCTTCTTTTTCACGAAATTAGCTCCCACTGAACCAAATAATACGGTGTTAAAATTGCATGGATTTCTATGAAATTTGGCTACACTATTGTTTAGATACTGACAAACAAAAGAATGAAGTGTGTTTCATTTTCAGTAACTATTCTAGCGGTCAATCTAGGAAGAATCTAAGAGCTGAGAAAGTCAAAACAAAAATAAATTAATATTTTGCCAAATTCTAAAGCTGATTACGTTAAGAACAGCGCGCAGGCAAATAACTGATAAATTCGTGCCTGACTAACAGGCCCCGGGGGGAGGTACTCCCAGAAAAGTTGGGTGGGGGTGTGCGGCCCACTTTCCAAAACCCTTACCCTATTTATGACCAAAATCTGCGATTTTTGCTACCCTATTTATGACCTGGCCAAAAATTTGACACCCTATTTATGACCATTGCGGCTGACAGAGTTGTCCTAAGCATAAGCTATGAAGGGCTTTTGTTGACGGTCTTATTGATAATGAAGAAAAAGTAGCTTCTTCCACGAAACATACCCCATTAAAGACTAGAGTGCTAACACCATACCCCATTTAAGACCAAAATGGCCAAAATCGATACCTATTTATGACCAAAACGGCTGAAAAACCCTACCCTTCGGGGCCGCACATACCTATATAGCCCATAAAGGAGTACCCCCCCCCCCCCATCCGGGGCTAACAGGGCGAAAAGCGTGCGTGTATAGGGCGCGAAACAGAGCGTTTGTTTTAGAGACTGTCAAAAACATTTGACAATAAAATATACACATTTTACGCATTTCGATATATATCCGGCAAAAGATTTCAATAATTAAACCTGTTATGGTAAGGTTTGCAAACAATTATCTGGGAGATCAACTGAAAATCCGAGGAAATTTACACGCAAATTCATTATTCGACGAGCACGTCTGTTAACAATATCTTGTGGGTGTTCGTATTTCTTTTAACGGGGGTTAGCGTTCACGTTTAGCGGGTTGCCAAGATTATTGACACAATTAAAGTAAAAACCAAGACACAGGAACCCTTCAGTTCATCGAAGAGCCGAAAACCCACTAACGAGCCTTTAAGCTTTTGTTTTCTAAATACGAGTCATTCAACGAGCTTTATTTTCACTAATTACATTATCTTTTCAATAGAACTACTTCAACAGTTTGCCATGTTTGTGATTTGCTAATTGACCAAATGCGTTCAATTATTTGAAGTTTCTGTTAAACAAAAAATTTATTATACCAAAACACGATAGAACTTGCAGTTGCAATATCATGTTGATCTTAAGCAAAGGCAGATAACATACAAACAAATTTAAAAAAAAACGTATATATATATATTTTTTTACAATAATCACTAATGCAGTTGCACACAACATTACGCAATACTGAATCCGCCGCACTTTGTACAGTTTCGACAAAAAAAAAAACACTTAAGAAGTGGACACTTCAGTTGAACCAAAACAAACGAAAACAATCCATCAAAGTGGTGACCTCATTTGAAAATAGTTGTTAATAATTTAAGGAAAGCCTGTATCACAAATAACCTGGTACAAGCGCGCTTAAAACAAAACTCTCAGGGTACAGATATAGTAACAACACTCTCAAATGTGTTCTAACTGTTTCTTGGTATTTCCTACGAAGGTAAGTGGACTCGGAAAAATTTCTAAATCTGGCAAACAGAAAGGTTTTGCTTGACGGACGACTGTTCAGTGATTAAGATTACGTTTTTACTTCAGCTTGTCATTCTTAAAAACTCATTGTGTCCTTGGCGTTGAGGTGCGTTGTTTATGAAATTTGCGGTTGTCAGTTTAGTTCGTAGCAAGACTTGCACAAATTACTATTCCTACTTTGTTTACAGAGACTGAAATACATGTACAGCTTTTCACTGCTGGTTACATCGACCCAAAAATAAACAGCTTTTTTGTAAAAAAGAAGGCACATTCACGCGTATCATGATGAAAGAGTACTTTAGTTTTAAGTGTCGTTAAGGCGAATAAATTTATAGACTAAAACGGACCTTAAGGAGTGAGGAGACGAAAAGTAAAATTTAGAGGAGTTTACTACGTCAGTAGTGTCTTGGCAACTAATAGGGTTTGAGTACACAAATCTCGCGAAGCTACAAGCATGGAGAAAATATTGATCAGCGTTCTAAGCCAAGCTAGGACAGCTTGGCTTGGAAGGGAGATATTGCACGACTCACGCGAATTAAGTGGGCGGGTGGGTGGACCGTTACCTTCCCTACTGCTCCGCTGAAAACTGAGCAAGGAGTGTTCTGCTCCGATTCGGTATTTATTAGCACGCTGCGTCATATCACACATGCTACTGCACGCCCAGTAACCCATGGGGTGTTACTTTCTGGTATTTTATCCTCGCATCTCATTACTCCAAGGGTTTTTTCTCCGGGTTCTCCTGTTTTCCTCCCTCGACAAAAACCAACAAACTAAACTCCAATTCGACGAGGATAGAGGACCTGTATGAAAACCAGCTAAGCTCATGTGGCTTCCTCTCTAAATATTATAAATTATTATAAATACAATATAACAAAGACATAGCTCCTCGGATTACCTTCCATCGAGAATGACCACATTATTGCCACAGCCACACCACACGTTTTCATTCACGAGAGTTATACAAGTGACTGGCGCACCACCCACCCTGACGTGGGAACCTTCTGACGGCGCTTCCTGTCTACTGGCATTCTGGGAAGAATATTGAATAGCACGGATTAAGAGTAAGTTTTGGCCAGGGCAACCTTAGGCCAAGCGATGAATTAGCTGCGAAATAGTTTGCTCGTTTTCTGCCCGTTAGTAACTAAAACGATATGTAAGGGTAGATAAAATCTCAATTGGGACAAGTCATCTAAAGCTGCAGGTGTTAAGCCCGGTTTCTGTAGCATGAAGCGACTTGGAGGGTTTCTACTGCGGTACTCCTTTAGATAGAGGTGATATTAAAATCTTCAGGATGAAGACAGCCACTGCACAAGTATGGCGTCTTGCCCAAGAAGATAAGGAAGGGTTCAAACCAGGAGCACTTGATCCGGAGTCCAGCGCGCTTACCACTGGACCCCTCCCCTCCTAGTGAAGCGATGTGCAAGACTTTCACTGTACCTGTAAGACGCAAATTGATCCATCAGCTAATGCTGCAAAGACTTTTCCATCTGGTAAATGAGCGATGTCAATCACCGAGTCATTGAGTTGAATGCACCACACTTCCGAGCTATTGAAAACACAATAAACACGTTTCAAAAGACAAGAAAAACAAGCCAACGGGAAGGTGTAGGGGCTTTTATGAATTTTGAAAATTGATTTCGTCTACGATCTTCTTTGATCTTACTAATACATCACAGCTCCAACGGGTTTGCAATCATCATCATCCACTCAAAAGTTTTCACGAGTATTCAACAAGCCATTATGTAAGTACGTCATTCAAGTTGCTTAGCACTGCGGGATGCGAATTTACAACATAACTTATTCACCGACTTTCAATAGTTTGCTATTGTCCCGTAAATAGAGACTTGATGTAGCAGACATAAGACTGGTTTGAATTTCAACCAAGAAATTCTCCTTACAGTCTCCAGACATTGTTGTTACTGGCAGCTGAAGGATTTGGTGAATTTGGTCTGTGATTCTGACGGTTTTGATAAATTAATTGGAATTGATTTTTTGTGGAAAGGTTAATTGCTGACCAATGTCGGGGATGACAAAAGATAATTGGACTTAGCAGCTGAAAACGTTCTCGTCATTCAAAGCTATAAGCCATTCGCACCTGTTCTCTAGAAGGAACGCGTGCATATACCACGACACGGTCCCCACCAAAATGGTGCCATCTTCCAGCATGTCCGTACATAGAACACGTGACTTGAGCTGCCAATAACAAAAAGTACAACTGATGAGAATTCCATCGCTCAAATTAACTATCAGCGTGCCGTTTCATACTTCAATAGTTTGTTCTACACTGACTTCAAAACATTTTAACCACACAACTGGTGAAATTGCCTATATTATCGCGGATATTTTAACTGCAGAAAGTAATATTCTACTGCGAGAAACTGCAAAGCAACGAGAATGAAACTGTTCAGGGTGATGGGCGTTCATTGGTATGCTTGACAAGGACTGGCTTGATCAGTGACTTGAGTAGGCTGAGTGTGTGTCGTTTCACCAAACAATCACCTTTCTCTTGAAGGTTTGTGGCACGCAGATTTGGTGGCGCGGTTGAAGATACGTCAGGTTGCTTAGCAACTGCAGAGACAAAAACTGTGGGCTCACTTAATTCGGCGTCAATTGCTTGTTCCGAAAAACGGAACACGGTATTTGCGCGAAGCTGTCAGTGGTCAAATGCACTAAGCTGGAGCAATGCGATTGGTTACTTACATCTACGTCAAGAGTCCTCATTTCCTTCTTGTTGATGTCCAGTAGATAAACTTTCGCTGTATAGCGACTGCTGCAGAACAAACACACTGGGCTTGACAAGTCTGCAATGAAAAAAGAAGCGATATTAGCTGGGGCGGACTAAGCGTGTGTTGTATGCATTATGTTACTCACGATATTCCAGTCATTGACACTTTTTTGACGAAGAGTATTTGGCTAAAAAAAAAGAAGCCGGTTCGAAAGAGCGAATACTGAAAGAAAGGTTCTGTTCAACAGTATGCTTTCGTTTATAAAATACCATTCATGCCGTCACGCTTTATAGCGTTGAATTCTGTAACGGTGGTGAAATAACAGTGGCAAAGGGCGCTTTCCATTCCGCCAAAAACTCCGGTTTCAATTTACGGAACCTTCCAGTGACGAATAGAACAGCAGGAATACCCGGCAAATTTTTGCAAATTTCATACCGAAATTTCCGTTCAACTGATTGAGAATTTCAGAAACTTGATTTTTCAGTTCACAAATTCAACAATTTTCGGATTTTCTTCCGAAATTTCGTTACGATTTGCCCCATTTCTAGAATTTCATGATTTTGGGTCGAATGGAAAGCGCCCGAAGTTTAAAAGAAGCTCTAATCTGGAGTATCGGAAGAGCACTATGCATCATACGTTTTCAGCGCTGTTTCGGTAGCACGAAGCTAATACAAGTTTTGTTACACAAGCTTAAGGTATTGCTAAGCTATCGCAGGACACCCTCAGCATTTTAGTGAGTTTCCCTAATAATTTACCAATATCCATTTGTGCTTTTGGGTGGAGAGAGAAGCACTGTGAGAGTCGAAGTATCTCGCTCAACTCAACGAGCACTCAAGCCCTCACCGCACGGTATTAGATGTCCATGACACTGCTTATCTTAGCCTGCAGAGCTGGAGCAGGCGTTTTCCGTGTGTTCACGAGTTATCGATATTAGCTCGTGATTGAGTAGATTCGCCGCCTGGTGGCTTAAGAAAAGTTTTAGCCCCACTCCTTCTCCCTAAGACGCCTTTTCGTCTTTCCCTAGTTTGAATCCAAGATGGCACTCGCTTTATCAAAATGTGCTCGCTCGCCAAAATACGTCTGTATTGCAGGCTACTTTTTTCTCGTTAAGTCGACGCGCAAATATTACTCATTACTCTATGTAACTAAGAAACAGTTTGATACACGTTCAATGCAGCCATCACCACTGACGATCCATAACAAAAGAGATATGAGTTGGAAAAGCAATATATCATCCTTATCTCGAACAATTCTAATAATTGTAAGCTCGAAAGATGTAATGGCTGTAAAAAGGACAATGTGCTTCATTAGCAAAGTGGACATCAAGGGATAATTAAATGTTTAGACGAGCGATTTTCACCTCGACGAGTTCAGACTTCAAGTCGGCGTCGTTTGAGCGTAACAATAAGTTTAATTACGACTAAAAATAATTGTAACACTTCTCCTCGTTGTTACACGAATTGCTCTTCCATTATCAAGTAGAATGTTGTTTGCAAACAAGTTCCAGCTGTTAGGGGGTGTAAATAACCTGAGACTCCATTAAAATAGCAAGCAAAGATTCTTGATTTTTCATATTCACGGAAAATGCTAATTTTGTTTTTTAGCTTGTCAAGGTCATCAACAAAGCAATCTTTTGACATATCACAGCGAGATTGCTGGCGCCTTGGTTACGTACCCTGGTATGGACAATTAAACTAAGAGCTTCAGCATTATCGAGAGAGACATTAGTGAAGTATGGTCGCTGCTTAATCAATCCCAACCACGAAGGACAACAAGAAGGGTGCGCCATGTAAGTTCAAATATGAGCAATACACAGCTACGCAGTCTCTTTCTCTTTCATATCTTAAACAAGCGCAGATCTAGGATAGATGGTAACTGATCTCCAAAACACCAAGCACCAAAGGCCAAAGCTTCTAGAGGGGTTCGGGGCATGCTCTCCCAGGAAATGTTTTGGACTTTAACTCTCTGAAGTCCCCTTTTCTGGGTTTTTGAGTCGTTCGGAAAAATCTGACTGATCTCTGTGACACGATACAAATTAGGTACTGATCTGCACCTGTTACAGGGGTAATGCGAAAATATTGAGGGTTGTTTTTCTGATGACGTTTAAATTGGAGGAAACTCACAGCCATAGCTTTCTTAAATAGAATAACATCAAAGAAGTCATAAAAAAGCTCGAAAATAAACAACGATGGTTATCACCGAGAAAGATTTAGACGGATTACGAACGAGAAACTTCAAAAAGTGGTCAATTTTATTCAAGATGCGGCGCGGTGACGTAGCTCCTTAGAGGATGACCAAGCGATTTTTATTTTAACTGCAATTTTAACTATTTCAAAAAGCGGTTGTTCTTTTAGCTTCGTTTTTGACGGATTGTATGTACCTTAAGTAGGTAAAGACATGATTGTCTATACATATTTACCGTTGAACTGTTTACTTTAGTAGTGATTTATTTCAGTATACAAATCTCGATCGAAGTAAATATTCATAAGAGGATAAAAAGTCTCGTAATTGGAAAAACGATTCAAACGAATCGTATCTTTTTAAGTTTAAGGGTTAAATGTTAGAAAGGTTTGGCAAGAAAGACAGAAAACGCCGATAATGCAGGGTAAAAGTTAAACACTTTGCGCATTTTGCCTCGCATAGATTCCTTGCTCGGCAGCTAAGATTTTACAGGTATTTTTATGGTTTCGAGTATTGAACTCATAGCTAACCGGTGAACAACGAACACAAAAAACGTCGAATATACGGTACATAATTCCAAATTTAATGAGCTCCAAGAACTAATAACCTGCAGAAAATTATGGACTTTGAATACTAGCTAAGACGTAAAATGGTAAGCTTAGCTTAGTGACGTAAAAGGATAACAAAATTAGGACTACCCACTTAACCTTAACAACACCAAGAATTGAGTAAAAAACGTATGTGGAAAAAAAAAAACAGACGGAGAAAAGTACGAAAAGAAGAGCTGGGCGGCTTTAATTACACGCGCCACAGGAAATTTACCTGATTCTAAACGAAATAACGAGGTAATATTGTCTTTCTCGTTTAAAGCTAGAACATGCGAGCTATTTAGAATTTCAAATGATTGTCGTAAAACCAAAACCAAATTAATCACTCTAGCCAATCACAAAATCCAATAAACCAATCAAAAGTCGCAGTTAATACACGAAGCTGACACAAAGCGAGGGGAGAGGTGAGTGAAAGAGTCACGATTGGTTTTGGTTTTACTTTTAATTGGACGGAAGAGTGGCGCGAGGTTTTGAGGCAAATCGACGTGTAGCGAAGTAATCCAAAAACCAATTACTTTTCGACACTCGAGTAAAAACCACTCCACTAGACTTCAGACACCCAGATTCACGCGTGAAATTAAGACGGTGGAATAGGTTTCAATTATTTAAAACTCTCAGTCGACGCTGCAAGCTAAAATATAAATATTAAATCTCCTCACTAGTCCTACGTATTTCTTTCAAAGTTTGTTTTGAGAGTTCTGTGTTTCATCAAGTCAATAGCGCTAAGTTGATGAATTTCCAATCTGGAAAACGTTTCTAAACAGTATAACCGATGGAAATGTTATGACCCAGGAAATGAAACAATTATCATATGAAAAAGAAAATTCCAATTCTCAGTACGATACAACACTTGTTATCTCCCAGAGGCAAGATGGTGTAAAAAGAAAATAATAAAACACCAGTGGGAAATACGACAAATATCACCCAGCCACAAAGCAGAGATTCGCATACCAGCTGATAACGTGTTTGGCTTTCGGACTTGCGGATTACGGAGGTCAGGTTTTACATGTAAAGGTATATACGACAAGATACCAAGGCGAAATATTGTTTGTTTGTTTGTTGTTTTTTTAAGTAATTGAAAACATTGTTTACAAAAGTCTCAAAAGCACTCAGACTGTGATTTTGTTGTTATTATTGAACGTGTTTAAGGGTGGTGAAGCATTCATGACAAAACAATTGACTACCAGAGGCTAACAATACACATCATAACTATCATAGGTTTTAAATTGTTTTTATAAAAGTGGTTTTTAGAAATTTCAGGCACCAAAGCCTGAGCACAGACCACATTATGAAGGAGAATAAAAATGGGTCGAAGTGTCTTTTTACAGGAGCTAAAACTTAGTTCCTTAGTTACAAAAATCTTACCAATTTATTCGGTTAAAATACCGAAGTTTGCCATCATTTAACACATCCAGTATCACCACACTAACAAGGAATCCTGACTAATCTGAATAAGCAATATGCGCGTAGAAAACCAGAAATTGAATGAAGACCTTCTTATAAGATGTGGAACATCGTGTTTTAAATAACAAAACAAAGGCTTCTTGCTGTGCACTTTTTCAAACCAAAACGTGCTTTCCGGATCCTTCTTGTTTAATGTACTTTCCTCTTAACATATCGACCTAAACCACTTAAAGGAACTGAGACAGCGGGTTTACATTATTTAAACTTTAATTACAGTGGAACCCCTGTATAACACAGGGCCAGAGGAATGGGAAAATATGTTCGCTATAAGGAGGTTTCGTTAAATCGAGGTTCTTTCTCATATATTAATATTTTACTATTACCGGGACAAACAATATCGTTCGTTATACCGAGGACTTCGTTATGTAGAGGTTCGTGAAATCGAAGTTCCACTGTATTTAAGTTTCAACCTTGAAATATTAATTATCTTGACTGATTAACGATCTTTTTTTGTGAGGTTTGCTGTAACATTTGCTGGACGATCAAGATTAGGTCAACCTTGGGACTATTTTCGTCATTCTTGTTAGCAAAGATTTATATAATAATTTAAAACACAAACAAATATCAACCCGGAAAACAACTGAAACATTAGATAACATCCATAACTCATGACATAAACACCCAAGTGTATGAATGGGTATCGGCGAATTGAATACTGGGGGGTAACCCTGAGATGAACTAGCATCCCGACCAGGGTGAAGTAGAAATACTCCAAGTCGCTTCATGCTACAGAAACCGGAGATAAGCGCCGGCCTGAAGGGCCACTTGGCTTGTATGCAGACTTTACCAAGACATAAACAATTCCAATTTCGTATTTCACACTGCGCGAGAGAAGGAACATCACTGTTTTTTTTTTTCTATAAACGAGATCGTAGCAGGGATGAAGTGATAGCGAAATACTTGTAGGATATGTCAAATATCACAGCTACAAAGCAGCCAATAAAATTGTAGCTGAACATTATTTGGCCGGAGTTGTAGTTGAGATACTTGTGACTGCTTAAACGAGTATCTGAAAATATATCATTACAAAGGAAATTTTTTAATTAAATTTCACGTGAAATCCACCGCCTGTGCCGCAATTAACATAAAAATGTTGTTCAGTATTGACAGAATCGAACATGTTCACGGGGAACACTAGCTGATTTTGATGGAAAGGATTTTCGCCACAGGAACTTAAATATAAAAATTGAAACCAGCAAAGGTGATCGAAGAAAACTAACTGTAAGACACTACCTCACGTTCATCCTAAACTGAAAAACACTCGCCGTTTCCACAACCGGCGACCAGAGGCATTCAATTACAATAATACAAAAGAAAAAATTTATCCACCTGGCGTATAACTACATAGTTGTCTTTTGTCAAGCGTATTTAAAACAATTACTTTTGCTTGTTAAATTGGTAACATCGAAACTTCCTCCCTCTCAGCGTGAGGCATGTTGTTGAACACTCGCAACTCCGAATAAATTAGGAAACCCACACAAAGAAGTCCAGTCTCCGGCGAGAAAGCACACTATCGACACAGGACAACAGAGCGCTTTGCGGCCGGAACAAATTTCGCACTTCCACTTAGTGTTTATTTCCTCTCAAGTTCAAGTTCATCGAGCTGTTTATCAATAGCTCAATCTTAGGCTTCTCGGTGTATCTGGAATTCCCCAGTTACAGTAAGATTGTGCTGTTTTCAATCATAAACATGCTTTCCTATGTTTTGCCTTGACAATGGACGCATTTCGCACGCACAGCGGAAAGAACACAGTCGTCATTCAGAAGTGTACCTCTTAGTAAGAAGTTCCATGAAAATGAAATCTCTTAAATCCTCCTGACTCTAACGTGAGTGATTCTTGTCTGTTTTCAGTGAATTGTTAACCGACATCCCTACTCTTGGACACGTTTATGATCCCGAGCTCTTAATGGTAAGTTATACACTATGTACAACAAAAACAAGGTACACTTGTGAAATAATGAGAACGATAAAAAAAAAAAAGATACAGAAGATAAATTCCACAAATTAAAAGTTCAAAGGTGGACCATTACCAAGTTGCGAGACAACTTTTGAGCCGTTAATATTCCATAGAGAATGCTATTCATCTCTTGTTATCACTAGTTTTTCAAATTTAATAGCCTTTCAAGGTTACATCCCAGAGTTGATGACTTTGTTTATTCTCATAACTTATAACCTTGACAGCATACTGATAGTGTGGGGAGAAATTAGATATTCATCGCCATTTGGGAATAAAGCACCAAATTGAAAGAAAAAGAAATGATAAAATTTATTTAACATCAGAATCTCCTGAAACCCTCCAAAACATGTGTGATGTGGTTCCGTTAAGTGGGTAATGGTGAGTTGTAGCCAATCGTAAGGAGGCTCTACTCTGAGGGCAGCAGCAGATTTCAAAAAAGAAAGGTCCGCAATGCGTATGCGTGTTGACTATGGACGTTCTAGTCATTCACAGATATCATAGAACTTCAGGCCTCTGAAGTCAAGTCAGACCTCGCGAGGCATCATTCGAACTAGTGTACAAGACTGTTATAAAATCATTTTATCTTGAAGGGATAATTTCTTCTTTATCTCTCATTATATTACTTATGAACTATTGACACAAAAGCTGTAATTTATGCCACACTTCACACACACACACGTGAACTGAGTGTCGGCCACAGACAGATGCATGTTTTGGCTTTCTTGGGCTTCGTTGGCATGCATGGTGCTTTTAACAACTTAATCTGGGATTTATAAATGTAAAAGAATGTTAGTAGGTACCAAAAAGAAAATACTCCCAAATGATCAATAAAAAAGTTAAGCCTCCCACAGCTTAGTAGTTCCTGCTAGGGGAGTCAGATTGTAGATTATCGGAGAGAGCACATACGACGCATATTCAGTCTTACCTCGACATGTGGCCAGCGCGCATTCCAGAATTTCGTGCTGATCCGGTTTCTCAAGTTTTTCCTGGCTGGGAATCTCCACCGTGAACGAACTGACGCGGGAGCGCTATATATGGAATAAAACAGTTATGGAAATAAGCTCTAAAGGAAGCTTTTAATGCGTCAACTTTCCAACAAGTAGCCTTAAAATTGCAAGAAACTGCGTAGCTTTTCAAATGTCACGCGTCACAGAGATTTATCTCCCATTACGAAGTTTTTCCACAGTGCGAGATGAAAGCAAAAGGAAAAACGAGAGTCGAGCCGCGAAACTGTGAAGAGTAGCAAGATGAGATGAAGGGTAACAGAGTAAATACTCCACCTTGTATTGGCTTTATTCTCTAGTTAATCCCCTCACGTTTTGAGATATGGTATCAACCGTATCCAGTCCTCCCGCGGATAAGCTTACCACGCGTGTTGCGTGGATGATTTCGCGGAGGACGAAAATCCGTGTAAACCCTTTTGAGCTATCCACGTATAGCCAATCGTGCTATCACAGGACTGGCTACTTCTCAATCCTCCTCAAATTTCTGACGCTGGAAGCGAACTAAAAATAACTTGAGAGGGATTTCCCTGGAAAAAAATTTTAAACTTAAACCTCGGACGTTCGTGCAAATTGTATCTGCACATCCTTACTGCGAACGCAGATTCACACGCCAAGTCATGCAAGAGAGCGCGCGCTAAGTAATAAAATGAACAACGATACGGCAGAAGGCCATTGCTATAGCTTTGCCTGGATTTAATGATCTTGGACGTTCGGTGACCCCTACTTTTCTTTCCAGAAACAGACTTTATTAACAATTATTTCCACATTGTTCAAAAATGAACAAAAAATCAACGTGGAAAGTTAAAGAAAAATATCAAGATACCTGTCTCCGGGACATCGAATCCTGCCATCTTGCGGCTGCAAGGCGCGTGAAACTGTGGTCGCTAAATGCGAACTTATTCTTTAAGGAACCTCACCAGTTGACTAAATTCACTTAATAGGTCCACTTAAACAATATTTGGCAGAGAACATTTCGCTTCAAAGATCTAATTGCAATATTTTTAGGCTTACAGACACTGTGGCCTTATTCGCTAACGAAGCCGATTTTTTCAGATTTAGGGTGTTCTTCCGGGCATCTTTTCTCCAAAACGAAGTCGGTGAGCCCCCATTTTTTTCAACATTTCTGACAATAACCAACTCATCATCTTACAGAGGTAAAAGTCTCAGAAAAAAAATCAATATTGGAAAATTTTCGCGCAAACGTCCTTAAGATAAGCCTATCCCCGTTCTCTCATGCTTGTACCTTTGATTTGCATAATTGATAAAAATTTGTTCAGGCCCATAATCTGACGCAAAGAGAGCAACTGCTAAAAGTCGAAGACGTAAAACTTTTATGTAAAGTAGAGAATAAATTTAATTTGTTTCCAAGCTAGAGCAAACATTGTTGCTTTACGTGAAAGTTATGGGTTTATTTTCCTAACGGAACTTTCGTTTTCCTCGAATAAAATTATAATTTAAATAGAATTTCCAAGCACTATCGCTTTCTTCTTTCACGTCGTGGGAGGTGAGACGTTTTGTTGTTAATTCAGGCGAATATTACAACATTGTGACCAATACGATCGATAAACAAGCACAAACATTCTTAATTACGTTTTGCAGTCAAGTTTGTTCCCACGATCACAACCGAAATTCTTCTCACTGATTATAACACTTTAGCCTTCAATAAAGGCGTCTCTCACAAGGTGATCCGAAAGTTCATTCTCATAACCTTCTTGCCTGAATTCGTAAGAATAATGTAAGGAGAAAATAGGATTTAATTTGCACTGCTTCATGTGCAATAGTCTATTACTCTGCCGTCCCGAACGTGACATACAACGTAAACAAAATGCGATAATCAGTTACAGGCGTTATTGGAAACTCAGTTTATTTACTTTTAGCTCTGAAAAGAACCGCCGACGTACTTGAGAATGGAATAAAAATGAAAAACTTCCGAAGCAAATGGCACTTAGCACACAAGGGACAATGAAAAAAGTAGGAGAGAAAATCCTTTAATGGCAAAAAAAATAAAAAGTGTTAGTGGTCATTATGCAAAATACTTACTTCCCACGTTTGAGCAAAGTGAAAATACTTCGGCGACAAGACAAATGATTTTTTTTTTAACGTTTTTCTGGGTACTTATCGGACAGAAGCAGGTATTTCTCCCAGCAGAAAAAATAAAGGAAGGGAAAAAACCTACTTTTAAATTTTACTTCTTCTCAGAAAAATCCGTGACCGGTTATGAAGTTACTTTAAATAAGCTACTTTAAATAAGAAACAGTAATACTTTTCTACCCTTTCCGCTTAATAAAAAGCTCCGCCAAAAAAAGAAAAGAAAAAAAGGAATTGCAAATGACCCTTCGTATTTGCGCTCTTGAGTGTAACTTTTTCAAACCAAACAAAAGAAGCACTTCCAAATTGGAAATGAACTTTCCTCAAGGTCAGTTGAAGAGCCATGTTCGAAAGACTGGCCTTGTGAATATATTACTTACCACTGTGTCAACTGTATCACGTTACTATAATTTTTAACATTATTGCTTAAAACACCGGAAAATCGTGTTTGACTGTTTCGGCTAATATCTATTGAAAATTGGAACAGGACTGAGTTTCCTGTCACAAGCAAATTAATAACTATTTAAAAAGGGAAAATCGAAAAAAAAAAAAAACACTTCGAGAAGCGAAAGATCGCAAGTCTTTAACGCAAGGAACGGTATGTAAGTATATATGCATGTATGTGATGCAAAAAAACTGCCTTTTTTGGATAATTCATTTAGGCGATAACTTCAGATAATTCCTAACTTATTTCTGTGATTTCCTTTCCCTCTCACCTTACAAAACATGATGAGATTAAAAATCAAAGTCGCATTAACAAATCTTTCAGTATTTTCCCGCAATAGAGCAAAAGCCAATCCACAATTTATGGCATTTTCCGCCAGCAAGGCAGCGGAGGCTCCTTAATAGCGCTTTTCACAAAGTCGGATTGTTACATCTGAGAGATAATTAATCATTAATGTCACAGTTCCTGAGAATCTCCTTTATCTAAGAGTTTCGTCCGATCGGTGTATAAGTTTAAGGCTAGGTTGGTCTTCCATTGTTCGGAGAAATTAGAAAGGGATTACCGAGTGTGCATTTGTCAGCAAAAGGAAAATGTGTTTCGCATCAGTTTTGGTTTCGTTCGCGACACAAATCAATGACAAACAAGATGAGTTTCGCAGACTCATCTCGTGACAGAAATAGCCTGGAATACGCACGTCAGTATTCCTCACGTAACAATTTAATCACTCATGGCTTCTTCCGACAACATAGATAAATCAATCAGTCGTTCTCCGGTAGAAACAAAATAACAAGAACCCGGTAATCAAGCTCTACCCATGACACCTTTCGGCATTGTCGTGACCGCTTTTACGTTTCTGCAGGGCAACCCTTCTCGAAACGGCTGTTTATATTTTCGTGATTGTGTGGTGCTGAGCCCTCTAATGGATCAGACCGAGTTTAACTAATCTTGACTACCTGACTCCGCTTCGCGTTATGATTGGTCGATGGCATCGTTTTCATTTGTTATCAGCGGCCATATGAGCACAGATCTACGCCACATCTTTTACGTGATTTTCACACGTGGTTCATTTTCAATGGCTCCGAATTAGGAATATTCAGCAGCTTTGTATTGACGCTTGATCGACCGGTCGAATTTGTTCACTTTTTAGCCTCTGTTCTAACAGTTTCATTCCAGACTGGCTTGCCTCCTACACAGACATGGGCTTCCTGGTACTCTGACTATAGTGTTTTACTTAAAAGAGCGGGAACTACAAACTTGGCAAACAGGGGCATGCAAAATATGATTCTCACTCTTTTTAAACGACTTCACTTTTGTTAATACCCTAAATAGTTAAAGATTTGTTTAGTCTGCGATCCAGCACTTATTCCTTAAGCCGCACTGATAGTTTAACTCTACCTAAAATATATACAACTACTTATGGCCTTAATTCCTCTAGTTACCAGGCCGTCAAATCCTGGAACACAGTTCCAAATCAATATCGCACTGTTAAAAAATCACTTTGAGTGTCGAAGTGTTTATCACTACTGTACTAACTGGGGACACTGAAACAAGCAAACAAATATTGTAAATTGGACAAAAACTTGTTAAAAATCCCAACAGGGATTTCGTTACAGATTTTAACACCTTCCGCAAATTAATTTTGCATTGCATTGTGATTGGCCGTGAGCAGGCCAATTTATCGTTAATTGTTAATTAACGCGCGCGCGTTCGCAATTTTCTCAATCAAAATAAATGAGTAATCGTGTGAAAGCTCAAGCAATTAAGGATTTACATTAGTCGTGATATTTGAAAATTCTCTCAGATTGCACTCTCCTAAAGGCTCGTGCAATTTGGAGAGAATTTTCAAATATCACTCGCTGTGCTAATCCTTAATCGCACTCGTATTCACACGACTACCTATTAGGCAAAAAATACTCGGGGGAGCGGGTTTCAAGGAAAATGTAAACTAACACTGAAGTAAGTTACTAATAAAGATATGTAACATTAGGTAGCTCGAAGAAACTAGCAGCAATGTTACTCTGTAAATTCGAGGGTAATTAAAGTTTATGATGATGATGATGATGATGCGTGACGAACCAAAGAATTTCCGTTGGTCAACTACTCATTTCTCCTTACGCAACCAGTATATTTTCCCACAGAAAGGTGTTGAGAATAAAGGAAATCATCAGCAAGAAGGTGCTGCCTTAATGCGCTACCAAAATCAAATAGCAGTCAATAAAGAGTAATCAATCAGTAACATACCGTTCTCTCTTCTCTTGTGATTAACTTGTCGTCTTGTCCGGTTCTAACACTCGCTAAATGCTTTTCTTGCTTCTCATTCAGTGTTGTTATGGTCGGGAAGATTTTCAATTCGTCATATGAAGACTGGTCGAAAATACAAAATAAATTAATTACTGAACAGTTTGGATAGTGGTGGAAAGGCGAGGGGTTCCCATCACGTTCGTTTTCCACTCGCTGTTCTTCAAGCTGCTCTCCTATAGACCAAACGCATGGAGCAGAGCAGTGAATCAACGAATTTCGTACCCAGATCTTACTACGTTTGGCCGTAGAAGACCTAAGTTCAAGATAATGAGTCAGCAAGTTTTAATTCCTTAAAAGAAACTAAAGTCAATCCTTCATGCAATTCTCCTCGCGCATATTGGTCTTCAAACGTTCATCAGATCGTTACTGCAGCTTTATAAGCTGCCTATTTTATAACTAACCTGCGTTGTCTATGTCAATGCAACGCTTCGTATGTTTACAACAGTTGCAAAAGGAGGTAACAATCATTCCAGTACGCGGTATTCAGGCTACTCTCGTGAGTTCTAACTACAGCTGTTCACTGAACAAACTGTTTTCAACAACGCCTATCCACATGTTCCCAGGCACCCTTGCGCGTTAATATACTGCCTAGTTCCCAAAAACGTCTTGGTAGAAAAGATTTTATAATTTATGATCAATAACAGCTTAGATAAGAGCTTTTACCTTAAAAAGCTGATCTTTGTCGTAAGTGACCCTGGCGGCTCTTTTCATGTGCTGCATGATTTCCAGGGGACAAGACAACTGCCGCAGAGCGTGTTGCTGGACCTTCAGCAAACCCACTGCGATTCGAAATAATGCCTGAAGATAAAATAAATAGTAAGGGTCAGGTAGGTGATAGGGGTCATTCGTGACAATACTATGTACGCTATTTTGTGTTGGATACAATACTTTATTTTCAATAATTATTGATGGATGTAAATTCAGAAGCAAATTTCATCTGCTTTTGAGTGCTGGTAAACGAAAGCAGGTCAGATTTATTGTTGCCACAACAGATGGATCATGAATGAACGAATATCACAATTGCTAAATTGTCCTAGTACGAGAAGAAGATCTCCCAGGGAAGAAAAATTAAAGCTGTTCTCTTTTCTTACTATACTAAATACTTACTTCTCTCAAACTTCAATTCCTGTTACCATGACTCTTGAAAAAGTCAGTAATTTATCACGTTTATTGCCTGCTTATGTCGTTAAGCTAAAAACAAAGCAAAGCTTTACTATCTCAACCGGACTAACCTCTCTACCTTCAAAGACAAAGCAATCCCAAATTCGAACAGCAGTCTGCAGGATTGATAACAAGAATCGATTAAAAAATAAACCTGTACATAGATAAGAGAACGAGGCAAGGAAACGAGAAAGCCGGAGTACAAGTTCCAGGAGTTTTACTTTATTGCGGTTTGAGAACGATGTTTATCCGTATTTTTCGGTATAAATAACAACTTTCTCCCAAGTATTTTGTAACATATAAAATACGAAAAGGGAGTGGAATTAGTTGCTAATATTTTGTGATCCGTTCAGCAAACGAGTTACCGGTTCTTTTACCGCAGTTCTTTTACCTCCCTCGAGTTGAAAACTAGCAAACCGAAATAAAATGCTTTAATGGCCACTTTCATGTGGCATACTTTGGCCGTTTGATTCTTGTTTTCAACAATATCTCCATAGTTCGACGTGTACTCTTACTAGTCCAGTTATCTTCCCCTAAACCCAGCACATAAGTCTTCAAGCATCCAATATAAAAAGATTCATTTCTTGACTAACTGGATTACTCAAGCTAGTGTCTATATCAAGATTACATTCTTTACTCTCCGCATGCAATCCACACTTTTTCCAACAAATATTAAGAGACCCACCCACTCACGAAATTTTTATTTCTTACCTCAAAGGGTACCGCGTCAATGAAGATGGTTATGAACCAGTTGAATGTTACAGTGGAGATGTCCACTCCATAGTACTTGAGGTGCGCTTGTAAGCCTGGTAACGATTCACTCAGAAGCTCACTCAAAACCGACTGAAAACAACGAAGAACTGCTTAGGTTAGTTTCTGTCACGTCTAGATAGGTGTTAATGTTTTCCAAAACAAATACTCGGGGCAGGGAGTTCAAGGACAATGTAAACAAACACTGAAGTAAGTTGCTAATACAGACAGCACGATTAAGAATCTTAACTAGCGGGACGTTAACCAATTGGTCGATTGACATGCGCAGTTCAGGAGTTAACCTCGGCACTACCGAGAGCAAGAAGAGCTACCGGTCAGGGCAGATCTGCCGAATCAGGTTTTGAACAGAAGAGAGGCTAGAGTTGACTTTGTTAATGATACAAAGTTTGCTACTTTTAATTTCAATGTAAGTTATCTTGTTATAATGCTTACTAGTTTCCAATCTCTATCATCACAAGGTCAAGCCAAAACATCGCTTTTATACAGAGGCTTGGTTACACTTCAGGACCAAAGTCATGCTTGTGTCACGTCTTATAAAGGGACTAGGTCACACAACTCTGAGTATTTATCACTTTGTATAAAAGAGGCTAGGTCACACAACAATCAAAAAGCCATAAAAAGGCGCAGGTCACATTTCATACATTCTCACCATTAACAAGTTTTGCTCGATTTTTTTGACTTGACAGAATAACGAACAATATCGTAGCTTGTATTTAAAGAGTGTTTATTTTTTAAGTGTCAAAAAAATATAAGGGCTTTCCCACCTGATCTGCTAAGGCCCCGCTCAAAGACTTGTCAAAGTAGTTTTTTAAGTAAACTTCAGTAACAGCAACGAAAGACCTGTAAACAAGAAAAAGAAAATGTAAATTTTTTTTAAAAGTTATTTTGCTACAAGAAAATAATACTAATGTGGTTACCAAAAGGCGTCTTCTTCGTCCATAAAAAGGAGACACATGGCCACAATAAAATTCATTCCCTGAAAAAGAAATGAAAAATAATAGCAAAGCAATATTCTTGCATAGTTTTTGAGTACGCCAGGAAACAAATGGGAACAACAATACTTGACAACCACTCGACAAGAGATAATCCAAAATCTCATGTTATTCAGATATTTCTAACATCGTATTCAAACATAGATTCGCAATGAAAATCTACAGTCATAAACATGTTATCTTGTCTTGTTCAGCTTAAAAAACCTAATCACACGCGAGAAATCTACTTTTTGTTTCACCGATTAAAACTAATCATAGATCAGAAGAAGTTCAAACAATTTTCCTTAAACCATAACAAAGTGTATCTGAAATGAAAACAAAGCTCATCGACAAACAAAGATGATCACCTGGTCTATCATCCTCGATAAAAACATGAATATTTCAATATATTTCGTCCACAACTGAGTGGGATCCCCTTAAACTGTAACATCTCTCAAATTATTTTTCCCTTGGCCAGTTAAATCGAATTCTGAATTATAGGAAGAACCTTCACCTATTATTCACTACAGAGAAAGTTTGCCGAAAGTTTTGTAGTCAACGCATTAGTGAAAAAGTTAGCCCGGGTCAACAGTGGTCCCACCGTAAACATAATAAATATTTTATGGTAAGAGGACTGTCTTCACGGTCAGGAATCATAAACGTCCAGATTGTCGATACCCGATATCCATGTCAAACGTCAGGTTTATAGGTGAGTAGATAAATACCGATATCAATACCTGTAGATAATTTATATCTGGACGATGAACACAAAACGCGTGGAGAATCCTGGACAATTTCTTTACCTATTATAGCAAAAAAAATTAAAATAATAATGATAATAGCTGAAAGCCATCATTGAAATTATAATCATGTCTGCGAATAAAACATTATCAGTACATTACTATTACACAGATGCTGAGACATCTGGCAATTCGCGTTTTGTGACCTCGCTTCTAAATAATCTATTGCTTCGTTGGACGTTTTCCCGTGTGGAGCACTTGCCTCGTCTTAACTTCCCTTGTCTTTCTCTAGATTAAGTCTTGAGGTAAGTTCGCTTTTCTATCACTGATTTTAAAACCAGCCGGTTATTTATATCTTAAGCTTTTTGGGAGGCTAAACGAGAACGAGATACTTGACAAAACAATTTTCTGTTGCTTTGCTGGAAAGTCAACTCCGCTCTCAACGAATTTTAAACCGCTCAAATTTTCGTTTTTCTTTTTTTTTTTTATTCTTTAAACATATTTTAATGCATGTTTGCCCCAAGAGCTCAGAGAACTCGTTTTGATTTCAAATTTTCCTTGACAGATGTCGAGAAGTTTCCCTCGTTTGGTCTACACTAATCGAGGGAGATGAAAACCTGTCCACTTGGAAAAACTCTTGTACAACTCTCATCCTTAAAACAGGATTTTTGCTCGACTATGCAAACCTCTATGTCAAAGTATAACTTTTCAAGTTGAACGAGTCTCGAATATACACCCTTGGCACTAACAAATTCCCAGAAAAGGGCATAAACGACACCATTACCAAGCATACGGCGTAAAAAATAAATTCGTTTTACTTTCCACATTTGGAGTAAAGTGAATCGCTATTGTAATTAAATGACAACACAACATCAACTCACAACTAATCAGGGAGGCTCACCGCCAGGGGGAAATCAATCGATTGTGATTAGTTTTCATTTTTCCGCATTTGTAGATATTACTTTTGGACCGTCAATTGTTTTCAAACATTTCGCCCGTAGTCCTTCTTAATCTTCCTTAGTTGTGAATATCCTTGTGGATTTTCTCTCAATAATTACTTCTTTATTGTTTTCTATTCTCTGCCTTTTCATTTAAAATTTAAAAGTAAATTTGTACAACAGAAAAAAATTTAAATATCGTGAAATACTTCTTAACAATTGATAATGTGCGCATGTATCTAAACAGCCTTTGAAGGCGTTCTTCACAGTCGCAAAGCAGTGTTATGAGCAAAAACTTAAAAACGCGGTCAGAAATCACCTGAGCCTCTGATTGATGCACTCACAGTCAAGTAGCTCGGATATTTCCGATCTCAAATAAATTTACAATATTTAGAGAGGAAGCCACATCAGCCCTAGCTGGTCTCCATGGAGAAAAAACCTCGGAGCAAGGCGAGAACCAACAGTAAACTCATGGCACCGGGCCGGAATCAAACCCAGACCACATTGGTGGGAGGCGAGTGCTACCACCACTGCGTCATCCCTGCTCCCCATTTGAGTAAATGATCCCGGATCTAAGTAAATTATGAATGACAAAAGGAACGATCCTAACTTGAAAGAAAATCTTACCCCATCACAGTCGGCAGATCGAAATCGTTCATTGTTGGGCATGGTCCGTAGCAGATCGCACTTGATCTGGTTCTCGGTAACAGTGAGGTGAGTGGCGGAGATACTCTGAAAATAGTGAGCATTATCAGCATAAAGAAGCAGATTTATCACCACTCTCCTATTCTGTCCACACACCCTCTATTTCGTCTTGAGTTCGTCGAGAAGAAGGCGGAAGGGAGAATCGTGTCTTCCTAATTTTTCACACCAGACATTTTTTTTTCGTATTTTGTCAATTTTCATTGATTTGAAAAGTGACATACAATTTTTTGTAAACACACAAGAGACATGCGTTTCATTCTCGTAACCAGTCGCTCCCGCTAAACCGCGTAAGAATTTAGAAACAAACAAAGGGTCTGTTAACGAGATAGACAAGGAAGCTCAAATGCAAATATCTCAGTGTCAGGAACAAGAATGCTTTTTTTTTCAAATAAACGGGGGCAAGGAACTACAAGAGCCATAAAAACCAGCACAGGAACAAATGCGGAAATTCTATGATTTCTGACTGGAGAAGAAAGTCTCAAATAATGCGAAGATTTTCCAGTTAAAAGAAAAACTTCATCGGTAACACCTATTCTGTAAAGATCTGGCCGGGTGAAACAGCCCCTTTTACTACCTTGCTACGAGAATGAGAGAGTAACAAGGCCAAATTAATTGAGTTATTTTTTTTACAAAAAAATACCTCTTAGTCGGCGCGTCGAGTATGTTACGGGTCAATGAGTGAGTGAGTGAGTGAGTGAGTGAGTGAGTGAGTGAGTGAGTGAGTGAGTGAGTGAGTGAGTGA